TAGTGCGGTGGACGTCGCATCAGCGAATGGCTGCCGACATGTCTAGGCTGACATCACTCGCGGCAACAGCGCGGTCTTCTTCTTGCTCAGAAATGGCACTTTGCACATACATGATGAAAAGAATGAGCTGAAGCGGCGCGAGGATCACACTGGCCGCTCCCGAACCCGCACGGCTGGACCTCCATTCAAGGAGCATCGAAAGCACGAAAACGGCAGAATACAACAGCATGAGCCGACGAGAGTGTCACATGAGCCCGACATGAGTTCCGAGCTCGCCGCTTGACTCCCAGAGCACGACGCGAGCATCCAGACCGCCCAAAACAAAATGAACTGGCCCTGCTTAAACGGGCGAGGGATTCGGGGCTTCAGGGGTAAGCGGGGCGGGACAAGACACACACGGGCGGTCTCAGAAGTGGGGTCTGGGGCTTAGGGTTTGGGGCTTGGTGTAGAGGGCTCAGGGGGCTCGGATTCAGGAGACTAGCTTGGATGTGCATTGTCAGTGTTAGAAACATGGACCTCCTCAGTGTTGCTCCAGAAGCAACATGCTCCACATTACGGATGTTGCTGGATAGCATTGACCGCTTGTATCGTTGCCAACGTTTCAGCATCCTGCTAAAAAGGTGCCGGAAAACACAGATCCCAGCGCTTCGGAAACACATTGAGGTCTATAGCAGTCTAGCTTGGAGGCTTCAATGTTTCAAGGACCTCGACAGAAGGCCTTCATGAATCCAATACCCAAACTCTCAACAGTCCACGACCTCAAAATTCGCCCCGAAAACCCAACAACAACAAAAAACGCGAGCAGCCATGGCACAAATTCGCAAAGTCCGTGAAACTTAGGAATCCCACAAGAAGATCACCGAGCTTCTGTCGAAGTTTAAGGTTTAGTTTACGGTTTAGGGTTCAGGGTTTGGGGTTTAGGGTTTAGGGTTTTAGGGCTATTTGAGCTTTTGGGCTTTAGATGTTAGGATTTCAGGCTTCCGGGTGTCGAGGTTTAGGGTAAGTGCTTGGTCTACGGGTACCTGCGCACTTCATGCTGCAGCTCTCTCTTTACACCCTGACGCCGCAACTTTTAAAAATCGAAGATCCTGGAACCCGCAACCAAACCCAAAGCCTCACCCACGGGCCCAGATCTCGCCCCCCGGAACAAATGCGAGAAAGAAGTGAGTTTAGGGGGACCGTGACAGTTCAGGCTGTAGTCTTAGGGCTTTTGGGAGTTTGGGCTTGAGGTCAAAGAAGACCCTAGGGCTCGTCCAGGTGATTTTTCGGTGGTTTTTGATGAGAGCAGAAAAACCGTTAGTCGAGACATAGAATCATTGAGAGAACACAGAAGGGTGCTTTACTTGGGGGGAAGCGATCTCGTGTGCTCTCGATGCACCTGGAAGGTATAAAGTGCGAAATGGGGAAGTGGGATCGATTGTGACATTGGCATTGGGGTTTTCTAGACACGGGGCTCGGGCTTTTTCGCAAAAGGGGGGAGTCTAAGGAGAGTCGGGATGTTTTAGGAGAGTCACAAAGGAGTCACAAAGGCGGATTCGGAGATGGCGGATGAATATTCGGTACACCGCGGCACACCGCTTGGCTGCCGTAAACAATCCTTAGTGGAGCTGTTAGAATTGCTGAGTGTACAGAAAAACAGGTGTTCAATCAAGACACCGGCCTTCTCGGGTGCGAAACCGCGGCTCTGCTCTCTCCCAGCCCACTTGAGCCAAGCGCGGACGAGTCAGCAACACACAAGGGACTCCTGATCTGCAACATCACACTCGACGAAGGCTGGCACCCACCTTTTGACCTCGAATTTCCCACATCCTTTCTACTTGCGGCCTGTGCTGCGGGAGCACGCGAGGTGGACTCGTCCATCTACTTTTCGTTGAAACCTGCTGTCCGATGCGCGCATGTTTAGACACGTTCGGTGTGTGCAGTCGCCCGAAGGTGCCGCCTCCTTGCAATACTTTTACTTTAGGTTACTTAAAGTTATAGTAGACCTTAGTTGATGCCCAGGACCGCTTCCCCGCAGAAATTCGGTCAAGTCGTTTCTAAAAAACATCAAAAACAACGTATTCGAGTCTAAAACGAAATATGAAAATACTACACGCTAGCCTGTTCAAGACCCGAAATTCTGCGGTCGTGGCCGTGTGTGGGGCAAGGAGGTTATTCCAGGGGGCTAGGGCCCGGTAGAGTCTCTGCACCAGAAATCCCAAGATAGCAGAAGCACTTGGACAGGATTCGAGCGGGCTGCTTTTAGATAAACAACTAGACTCGAGAATGCCGGCTTGCGAAACTGGATGTTGCTGTCAGGAGTTGCACGTTGATGCATTGATTTCAGCACGCAATATTGCAAGCTGGATCTGCGGAGGCTCCCACTAGCAGACACTAGCAGGAAGCAAAGATATAAGCCGTGTACTTGGTCCAAGCGACTCGAAATTATCAACTACAAGCTTTGAGATTGTGGTCCTCTTCAGGAAGCTACACGGCTTGCATCAGCCAGCAGCATTCGCTTGTGTTGGCAGCAGCGGAGCTCTTGAGCTTAGCAAGCATGACTGGCAAACAGCACTTCGTCTATTTGTTGCAGAGGTGCGCCGCTGCTACTGCTGCTTGGTCTGCAGTAGCTTGAGGAGCAGGGACCGTACCTCGGAGACTTGAGAGCCCAGCTCGG